GGATAGAGATCCATTGATCCTGAATGTAATCAATATATTCAGCCGATGAAGGACCAAGCTGATCTTCCAGAATTTATAAAAAGATGGGACACATGGAACAATCAAACATTGATGAGAAGATCTGGATAGACCTCTGAGAGGCAAACAAAGGTGCAAATGTTGCTAAAATCAATCTGTAATAAACTCATGCCATTCAGATTGGTTATTTATTATTGAAAAGTTTGAGAGACTAGATATGAATAACATAAACATAATTTGTTGAGATTAGGAAGATTTTTGCAGCACTTGAACCTTTTGTAGAAAAATCAAGAACGACTATGAAGAAACAGAAAAGCCCAGTCTTTTTATTATTTTCATGCCAATGCAAAAGCTATAAAATAAATCCACCAAGAAACAGTCGTACTTACAAATACACTGCAGTACAGAATATAGACCCACACAAAATAACACATATTGACATGCGTAAAATAACATCCACTATGTGAAACTTAAACATGCACTCACACATTAACACCTGCACATTAAAACTCAAAATTACACACTCAGTACAATGCATAAATGCACGCACACACTAATGCATACATCATCCTACATACTAACATATTAACACACATAACACACAAACGTAGAGTAAAACACGCACATACAAAAACAAGAATAACATGCCTTTAGGAAAAGATATTTTTATTATTTTTTGCATTCATAGAAAATACTAGACTCATTTGAAAACCCATCTCTAGCCCCCTTCTTCACCTTGTCAACATATATCTGCAGGGCAATGCTGAGGGTCCCAGTTGACTGTGATTGAGCATATGCATCCCCTGCAATGCCCTGAACGCTGTGCGGACAGAGCTCCTCCCTGAGAGGACAAACCCCACAAAACACGTTCCTCACTCAGAACCTACCTCTGTGAATATTACGGAGATCACCTGATTTCTTTATGGCTCTGTCAGTGTTCGTGATGCCGAGCAGGTATTTGACTCCATCTGGTTTCATCAGGACAGAAGAGCCCAGTGACATCCAGAGAGTGACTGCTGGCTGCTCTACATGAGTGGCCAGCAGGATGCACAGAGAGACGTGGCATCTACTGGGCCCTCCTGAGTTTATTTCTCTAGCACCTATCTGAGGGTCCTGAGCTCCACAAGTGTTCAATACAGAGATGCCCAGTTCTCAGACTAGCCCTGTGAAGTGAGGTGCAGGGACGTGCATCTGATTACACTGACAATACGAATCATATGGGGCCCTTGACAAACGCATGGGTTTCCAAACCTTGTCCAGGAATGTGAGCTTTGGACAGGTTTGTGTCTTTTTCCCAACTCTACAGAATCGAATTCTGGACAGTATTTACAGACTTTCAATGAATTGATTGATTCGCATGTTACTTCTTTATTTTTTATCAACTTGGATCCATGCGCCTGCTACAAACTCAGATCCGTAGTTGCCCCTTCACACACCTAGCCCAGGCAGCATAAGCTGTTCCTGAAATCTCAATGTCTTAATGCTAAGATAAGAGTGAAACTGAAAATTCTGCAATATTTGAGTTAACAAAGCCATCTCATTCCTCCACAGTCTTACAATTAAGCTTGCATAACTTCAGAAATTCTCTCTTTAAGTGTATTTCTCATTGCCTTTTGAGTTACACAATTGCTCCCATTAAAACAGGATAATCCTACAAACATCAGTAGTCTTTTTAAAATGCACGTGTGTGTGTGTGTATCATGCATGTATTTACATACATCGTAAAAAGAAAAAGCCAGGTTTTGGAAAGGAACCCCTCCACAACCACCTCTGCACCTGCTCCTGGGTCTGGAGTCTGAGCTGGATGGGTCCTGAGTGCCCCCTCCAACCCATCTCCCACCCTGCAGGGGAGGTTTATATCTGGGCTCACGGTGTGTTCTCCCAGTTTCTCTAGTTCAGTTTTAAATGTCTGTACCTGGGATTCAAGAAGCTCCTTCAGTAACACCATATGATTTTGACATAATCTCTTGATAGTGAATTCGACTTTCTTAACCCTGTCAACTCTGAAAGAAGACCTTAGGCAAGATTTTATTAAAACACCAGGCAACCCCTTCACTGAAGTGGATACAGAAGATACACACACTGATTTCAGAAATAGTGGTCCTGGGGAGGGTCTTTTACCTCCGTCAAGCTCTTCTCATAAAAGTTCACATCATAGAATATCTGTAAGTATAGAAACATGTGGCCCAACACCCATCCCACATGCACTCCTGCAAACCCAGGCTCACACACACTGTAGATAGTTATCTTCATAATGGGTGGAAAATCTGTCCTTTCTTCCTGTACCTAGCACATGGGTAGTGCTCCCCACAATGACTCTAGTCCTGGGTGCGTGTCTTGCTTTGTCAAACAGAACCAAAGCAACAGGACTCAAGTGGAGACTTGGGAAGGGCCTACACAGTTGGTTTGCCTGTTGACCCAGTGCCCGGGACCCCTGCAGATGCCCATGAGTAGGGTCCAGGCTCAGTGAACAGAGGATCACACACAAGGAGCCAAGCCCAATCAGGTCACCCACAATTAACACCCTTGATGTGTGGAAAGTGTTCACCAGACCTACACACCTGTTGTCCCCTGACTCAAGAACACAGTCAGGACCCCAGGGCAAAGCCACAGACGGGGTTCAATGGTTCATCTCCCAAGGAGCAGGAGCAGAAGCAGGAGCTGATCTAGAAAGCCGGGTCGTGGAAATGTGAGCTTGGGGGTCAGGGCCCCAGTGGGCCAGTGTCTGCAATGGGAATCTGCCCCCACATCTTTCTGTTGGAGACGTCTCTGGTGGGATCATGTCCACATCTTTTCTGCACAGATGGGCTCACATGGTGGCTGAATTGTGTTTGTGGTTCTCAAGTCTGAGGCAGGAAAGAACTTCACTAAACAACAGCAGATTAGGAGACACATCTGCTTCCTGGCCCAGTTGAGATAACTCTGGGCTTCTGACTTCAGCTCGGTGCTTGCATGAGACGGGTGTCCCCACGAGTCTCACTCTGGGGTGATCACAGGCTGAGCAGTGCCTGAGAGAGGGGCGCTGAGGATCTTTAATAGTTGTAGCTCTCAGAGTCCTCTAAATTACCTACTGTTTACAATTGTTTCTCGCGTGTTGTCTTTGGGCTCCCCTGAGCTTTCCTCCTCAGAATCTGAGCATTTGCAACTTTCAGATTTAATCCACTCTTATTTCACTGGTCTAGTGGTAAAGAGTTGGGTATGAGAATGTTACATATTTTTATGAAATTGATGACTTCGTGTTCTCATGTCTCCATGATGTTCCTTTCACAAGGGCCCTTCATGTGACAACTCATTTTCCTCCACCCTCTACTCAAGTGGCTGAAGCATCTTCCTCTATTTCCTTGAATCTCACCTCCTCTGAGTGTTTTCACTCTTTAGGTGACACAGAATCACTGCATATGGACCTAGAATGGGAATAAGTTTCTTCTCTCTCTCAAATTTAGGTTTGAAAATGTTACTGGGAAGGAGAATCTTCCTGGTGAAGGCTGTGGATGCACATCTCAGGTATTAGTCCTGCACGTGACAGATGCACGAGGGGACCTATCTCAGTCCTCAACCTGGGAACCTGGAGATTCCTGGAAGGAAAGGCCACAATGATGTGCGTGTGCAAATCCCAGGAGCTCTCACCCTCACATGCTCCACAACTGTCCTCATCCATTTATAGAAATTTTATGGAAGTGTTTTTCCAGATTGGACCTGTGGCAGCTTCAGATTTAGGCTAAAAGGTCTCACCTGTCACTTTGGATGTGCCTGTCCCTTCCAGTTTTTAGGGCAGCAGTTTTATCTGCAGTTTCAGTGCTATGATGGGCCTATGGCCAGCACTGATGTTCAGTTTCTGTACATTGTTTTTGTCCTTAGAATAAGGGTAACAATTTCCAAGCTTTCTGAATGTTTGAGAAGAAACTGGAAGCACCTTTAGAGGTTGACTTTGACCGGCTACTCGGAGGAGTATTCTGATTTCACCAAGTGTAAGTGACACCTGGGCAGACATAATTAGATATGGAACAAAGCAAAAGATGGGAAGACACGCATGCACATCAAATGGACTTTTCACTTTTTCTTCCCAGGCACTGAGTTAAGCTTCATTTCCCAGGGGCCCTGCAGATGGAGTTGGAAATGTGAGGTGAAGTTCTGGACGACGGACAGTGAGAGGAGTTGTGATGATAATCACCCCACTGTCCCACCTTCTGGCCCTTTTATCAAGGTCACGTCTAAGGGAAGTGTCGTGATCATGCAGGGTCCTCAGTCCACTTCTTATCATTAATGATTTCTGCATTTCCTAGTGACACATGAAGACATGAATTCACAGTGGTCCCGGTGTGTCTTCAGGAATGGGTCAATGAAAACCAGGTAACATGCCCTCCACAAGAAAAACAACATGCAATCTAGATAAAAATGCAAAAATCTACATTTGAAGACTCTTAAAATTGGCAAAAGGCACACAAGGGAAGGGGCACACGTGTGAGAAGCCCTGAGCCTCAGGAAAGGCCGTCACAGTCTGAAATGTTAGTGGAGGCAGCTGTCATCTCCACCCAGCACATACTCATGGCTCACCAGACAGAATCCTAGTGAACAACCAGCTTCCAGATGAAAGAAAAGTCTCAGGCCACAGAAAGTAAAACCTTTGAAGGACTTCTAGATTCCTTGAACTTTGGATGAGTTAAGCAAGACATGGACAAATCTATCAAGGGTGGAATTGTTAACATCAAGTTACTTAAGTATAACCTCTGACAGTTCATGAGCTGGTCACTAGTTATGCTTTTTTTCAGAAAACCACACTAAACAAGAAAATATAAAACAAGATGTAGTACAAGAACATAACAATAATAAAAAAATGTAAGAAATGAGCATAACTTCATAAGAAAAACAAAAGTTTTTCCAATATTTTGAAAGTACATATTTCCATATTTTAAATATTTATTATTTTTAGCATATTCATCATTCCAAATCATAATCTCTGTCCATGTACACAACCTCACCTGTTACTCCCAACCTCTCTCCCTCCTGACCCCCATCATGAGTATCCATAGCCCTGTTCTGTCCTTTGGAAAGTTTAACATATTGTGGCATTGTGTGTTTCCTTCTTTTTCTTTCTTCCTTTCCTTCCTTCCTTCCTTCCTTCCTTCCTTCCTTCCTTCCTTCCTTCCTTCCTTCCTTCCTTCCTTCCTTCCTTCCTTCCTTCCTTCTTAGCACACAGTTATGAGTGAGAATGTGCTATTACTGTTTCTTTCTCTGGCTTAATTTACTTAACTTAATTTTCTCCAGGATCATCCATGTTGCTGCAAAGGGAAAAAATTCCTTAATTTTAATGGCTGAGTAGTATTCCTCTGTGCACATATACCACACTTTCCTTATCCAATCATTTGTCAATGGACATTTACGTTGACACCATATCTTGGCTATTGTAAAAAAGTGCTGTGATGAACATGGGAGTGCAGGTGTCCCATCAACATGATGACTTCCCTTCCTCTGGATATATACCCAGCAGTGGGTTTGCTGGATCATGTGGTAGTGATATCCGTAGTTGTCTGAGGAATCTCCATACTGTTTTCCATAATGGCTGTGCTAACTTACAGTCCCCACAACAGTTTAGGAGAATTCCCCTTTCCCTGCATCCTCACCTCACCTGTGTTTGCTTTTCTCGGTCTTGTTAATAACGGCCAGTCTAGCTTGCATGAGATAATATCTCAATGTGGTTTTGATTTGCATTTCTCAGATGACTAGTGATGCTGAACATTTTTTCATGTACCTGCTGGCCATTTGTATGCTTTCCTTTGAAAAATATTTATTAGTTTCATTTGGTAATTTTTTAATAAGAAGATGATGATGATGATGATGATGATTATGATTATTATTTTATTTATTTATTTATTTATTTTAATGTGTAGCTGTTTATTTGTGTATTCTGGATATTATTGCCCTGTTAGGTGTATCATTTACAAATATTTTATCCCATTCAAGAGGTTGTCTTTTCATACTTTGGATTATTTCCTTTGCTGTACAGAAGTTGTTTGATATAATACCATTTGTTTAAGTTTTCTTTTGTTGCTTGTGCTTTTGGGGTCGGATTCATAAAGTCTTTGATCAGTCCTATTACCTGGACTGTTTCCCCTATATTTTCCTTTAATAATTTTATGGTTTCAGGTTTTATAATTAAGATTAATCCATTTTGTATTGGTATTGGTATATGGTGAGAGGTGCAGGTCCAATTTCATTTTACTGCATATGGAAATGTTCATGCTTCCCCCCGAAATCTACAGATTCAATATAATTCCCATCAAAGTATCAATGGGATTCTTCACAGAGATACAGAAAGCAACCCAAACGTTCATATGGAATAACAAACGACACCAGATTTCCAAAGCAATCGTAAGAAAAAAAAAAAAACCATAAAGCTGGAGGCATAACACTACCTGACTTCAAATTATAGTGCAAAGCTATTGCAACCAAAATGGTGTTGTACTGACATAAAGAGAGACACTCAGATCAGTGGAACAGAAGAGAAAACCCAGGAATCAACCACATACTTACAGCCAACTGATCTTTGCCAAGTGCAGCAAGAACGTACATTGGGGAAGATACTGACTCTTCAATATATGGTGCTGGGAAATTGGACACTCACTGTGTCTCCTGCACAGTCATTCATGGCTGTGTCCTCAGCGGTCACGGAGCTCAGCTGCAGCGGGAACTAGTTCTGGGCCCCTCAGCAGTGGTGGAGATGTGGCCCTGAGTCAAGGGGCCATGGTTTATCCTCCATGATGATCCGCTGTAGTGACTATATCCAAGCCATTGAAGCCCCTTCCCCAGAGGGTGGCAGGTCCAGCTCCAGCCATACCCACTGGAGACGGAGTAACCAGAGATGGTGCAGGTGAGGGAGAGGGTCTGCAATGGCTTTGCCAGTCCTGGGCGTGACTCCTGTGGCTGCACCTAGGACAGGACACCTGGAAAAAGAGGGAAAATCCTCGTGACTGTCACACAGCACACTCCTCCTATCACGTTTCTGAAACCCTGATGCTCACACTGGGAAGCTGTCAGCAGACAAAGGAAAAAGGGTAAAATGTTCATCTTCTTGAGAGACAGAACAATGTCTTTCACAGAGAAACTACACAGGATGATGAGAGATTGAGGGAGAAATCTGACAATCCCCAGCATCGTCACCCTGATACAAGCAGAGCTTGGGGGAAGTTCGCATGTGCCAGGAGCCCTCAACACCCAAGAATGAGGAAGTGCAGTGACCGTGTGCATCCAAGCCTCTTCAAAGAGCTGGTCTCAGGCACCAGAGGATGCACACAGTCCTCATCTAAATCTTCTGCACGCTCCTGAGCATGCAGGGCTGTCATGACTGAGCATGCAGACTGTCATCACTGAGCATGCAGGGCTGTCATCCCTGAGCATGCAGCTGTCATCCCTGAGCATGCAGGGCTGTCATCCCTGAGCATGCAGCTGTCATCCCTGAGCATGCAGGGCTGTCATCACTGAGCATGCAGGGCTGTCATCACTGAGCATGCAGGGCTGTCATCCCTGAGCATGCAGCTGTCATCCCTGAGCATGCAGCTGTCATCCCTGAGCATGCAGCTGTCATCCCTGAGCATGAAGCTGTCATCACTGAGCATGCAGCTGTCATCCCTGACCATGCAGGCTGTCAACCCTGAGCATGCGGCTGTCATCCCTGAGCATGCAGGCTGTATCCCTGAGTATGCAGCTGTCATCACTGAGCATGCAGCTGTCATCACAGCCTTGACGCAGGGACACAGATCAGATAAACACGTGGCTTGGTGGATGCAGAGGACAGAAGAGCGGGAGGGGCTAAGTAATGCTTGTGCCCAAGTGCATGGGCTGGAGACATCCCACTGCTCTTGTATCCACCTGAGGACACTCCATCATAAAGTGCCTGGTAGTCGCTCTTCTCTGGGAGGGAGGCTTGGGGAAAATTGAAGTGCATCCCCCCCTTGTTTGACAACAGGTGTCACAGCCTTTGAGACCTTGTCCACCTCTGACCTGTTGAGGCAGCCCTGATCTCCCTCTCTCCATCAACCCCCACCATTTGATTCTTTTCCATTTTATAATTTCTCTTCCTGCACCTCCATGGTAGACTTGAATAACAATACCATTCTTGCTCATAACCATTTATATACTGTGATTTATTTCCTTTGCTTTATCATCCTTTAATAGGAAAAAGAAATACTTTAAGGTTAAAAAAGTCATTTTCAGTCATGCTCAGTGTCCTGCTGTGCTTTCAGCAGGTGTAAGTTCATCTTTCCCAGCATGGTACAAACACACGCACACACACACACACGCACACGCATGCACGCACACACATGCACACACACACACACGCATGCACGCACACACATGCACACACACACAGTCTTTGAAGCACAGATCAGTCATGATCCCTGTGCATACCTCTCAGGAGGCAGCTTGTACCCTAGACTGTGTTCTGCACCCCCATTCATTCTCAGAGTCTGTTTTGTGAATCCCCTTTATGTGCACCTGCAGATCAGGAGGTGAGCCAGGTCTCCACACAGGTGCAGCAGTTTCCTCCCACCTGCTCCTCTCCCTGCTGCTCCCTCTTTTCTGTTCTTCCTGGTGTTTCTCTTCCTGTCTTTATTTCATAAAGGCTGAGTTTTCACTGTTATTGCTGCTTGAATGCAGCAGGGATGGAGCATTCCAGAGACTCTCACACCATCAGAGATGGCTGGGGAGGAAAGGGGGCCACCTGGGTTTTATCATGTGTTGGAGTCATATGGGCAGAAATAAAGCATCTCTGACCACAGGGACTTCAGCCATCATGGTCCTGTCCAGAATATGATTTATAAAGAGATCTTACACATATCAACAAAAGGATTAAATCTCAATTTAAAATGGGCAAGTGATAGAATCCACATTTCTAGAAATAAGGCAAATAGCTGAAGAGCAAATTAAGAGATCATCAACTTCATTAGTTATCAGGGAAACACAAATAAACGCACATGGGTTTACTTCAGAGGCACTAACATGGCTGTATGTTTTTAAAGGAAACGTTGTCCCCATGGACGTGTACACACTTGAAAGCTTCCATAGCGTTGGGGTTTAAGGAAAAGCTCAAGTGCTGCTGTGGTAATGATTTGGGCAGTTACATAAAATGTTAAATGCAGGACAACCCTATGACCCAGTAACTCCACCCCTAGGTATTGGCCCAGGAGAGCTGAAAAGAGGGGTCCAAACACAAATGTGCACAAATCTTCACAGCAGCTCTGTTCATGGGGGCCAAAAAGTGAACAACTCAAATGTTCATTGACTGAGGAATTGATAAACAGATGTGGCAAATTGATACAATTGGAAACAATTCACCTACAAAAATGAAGTTACTTACACATGCTACAAAATGAATGAACTTTGAAAATATTACGCCACACAAAAGAAGCACACACAAAAGGCCACATGTTACATAATCCCACTCATATAACATACCCAGAATAGGCATGTCCATAGATACAGAAAACACATTAGTGGTTTTCAGGGGCTTGGAGAGGGTGGGATGAGCAGTGACTGCTTGTAGGGGGTGGGGTTTCTTTCTCAGGTGATGAAAATGTTCTGTAACTACACAGTGGTGACAGCTGACAAACCTTGTGAAAATATGAAGTGCCACTAACCAGTATCAAATGGTTAAAATGGTGAAAATAATGTCATGTAAATTGTAGCATCATACAAAAAAAAAGCACATTAAACTTAATTTTTGTTTTACATTGATCATTTTAAGGTAAGAGAAACCACATTTTAAGGAAACACATAAAGCAAATAAAGGAAAAGAAAAAAACAAGAACAAGAGTTCCTGAGTATGACTTTTGCTGACCAGAGACAGGAAACACCAAGGACTGAAAGGAAACCCTGGGTGTCCTGTGCACCTGCTCCTCAGTGGAAATTCTCCATGTAGTGTGTTCTGGGTTCACTCAACCACCAAGTCCCCTCCTGTCTTCCTACAAAGAGGTTTGTGTCTGGGCTCACGGCGACTTCCCCTCACTGTGTCTCTCGCACAGTAATACACGGCCGTGTCCCCGACTATCAGGCTGCTCAATGTTAAATAAGCTTGGCTCTTGGAGGTGTCCCTGGTGATGCTGACTCGTGATTTAAGATCTGTATTATAGTTTGTGCTTCCATCACTCCATATCGCATCGACCCACTGCAGCCCCTTTCCTGGACGCTGGCGGATCCAGTGCATATCATAGCTGGTTAAAGAGAATCCAGATACAGAGCAGGTGAGGGACAGGGTCTGTGAGGGTTTCACCAGGCCAGGACCTGACTCCTGCAGCTGCACCTGGGACAGGACACCTGGGGACAAGAAGTATCACCGTCAGTCAAACACGCATGAAGCCACCACATTCCCAGGTTCTATTTCCTGAAATCCCTGGAACACTCACAGCCCCAGGACACCCATGCTCTGATGAAGGGCTCCTGGTGGGAGGAGACTGGGGCTGCTCAGGCCAGGGCTGGCCTTTCAGCCTGACACTGGCGTCTGCTTTGCATGAGGAGGCCTCTGAGGATATAAGTGTGGGAGCAGAGGGGACAGTCTCTGTCTGTCCTTGTCTGGGCAGAGCTTTTTACCTTGTGCTGCTGAGAGGAACTGAGGAGACAGAACCTCAGAGACTCTTCTGTGCATCACTGCCTGGTCTTCCTGTTTCCAGACAAATATGAAGAGAAGTGGAGATGGAAGGTGGAGGGTTTGACAGCACAGAACATGAAGAAACCTTTGAATTAAAGAGATTCTAGGTTCCAGGAGAAGTCCATGACCCTTTGATCCTCATGTGCTCCATTGACCATGTCTGTTGTTTGATGCTGTCTCTCAGCTGGTGGCCTCAGTCTCTCTGCGCACAAACCTGTTATGTGTGACTTCAAGTGAAACTGTTGGAATTTTGTAGACCCTTTTAGTTGATTCCTTCCAGAAGAGATAGAGTTTCCTATGAGACTCAGATGTGAGTGTGTGCCATTTTTGTGTGTAAGCATATACATACCCATGTATATATATATGCATGTATTTATTAAGAGAGAAAGAAAGTCCCCTGCTCCTTCCTGTTCCTGAGAGACAAGTCACTATGGCAAATGCATAGACAAGATGCACCCCCACCAAGTATATGACAAAATCATGTTGGCCTAGAACTCTTACTGTGGAAATTTCTAGAAATCTCAATCTTCCTCAATCCCATTTAGAAATCCTCTGCTCACACTCCTGCCCCGACACTTCCAACGTCAGCCTTGACTGTCACATCAGACTCAGTCTTGAGGTTCGTGATCTCGTCACTTGCTTCAGGTCACAGGTGACTCCTCGGTGGTGTTTTCTTAAGTGCAGCTCCTCCTGCAACTGCAGACCTGTGAGATGGACACTCTGTGCCCTGCCTCCCCTTTACCCAATGTACTGTGATGAGTCACTTCCAGGATGACCACTGTAGACCATCCCGTTCAAAGACTAACTCCAGGCACCTGGGAGTCACTGGATCACAGCAAATTCTGAACGTTGGTTGGGCACGACGTACCACTGTCTGGTGATGGTCCATTTCTTATTTCTTGGAATGACACTGCACGACTCACAGATTAATTATTTAGGATTCTAGTCCAACCCTGTTAGGAACATTTCCTTTCTCAATTTGAAATTGGCATTTTCAGTTGATTACTTCTTTTAGGCTTTTTTATTTAAAATAAGCTGGGGGCAGTTACAGGTTGTGTAATTGTATTAAAACATATGTAAAAAATGTTCCCCTGTGATAGTCCAGGACATGCAGTGAGTAATCTTAGCTATCCACACCAGAAACAATGACTTTGAAATGGAGAAGAGGTACTAATAAAAATCAAGGACTGTGCATTTTTGTAAAACAGCAGATTCCAAATAAGAAAATGCCACAGTCACTGAAGTAACTGTTTTCTCAGCGTCCAGGGTTTAGGGACATGTTTACTTAAATATAGGAAGGTGGAAGATGTCTACAGGCATAGTTCTGCTCAGTGAAAAGGAAAATGCAGACCCCTACCAAAAAAAAAAAAAAAAAAAAAAAAACCTTCTCACTCCCAGACTTGCTCTGCACCTGCCCATGGAGCTGGGCCCTGGGGGCAGACGGTCCTGAGTTTCCCACTCAACCAGTGCTGTGTCACCTTCCACAGCTCTTGCTGCTTTCCACAGACCAAAGTTGTAGAGATTTTCCTCTATGTTTTTTTTTTCTAATAGTTTCATAGTTTCAGGACTCAAATATACTTCTTATTCCATTTTGAGTTGCTTTTTGTATGAGGGTTCAATTTCATTATTCTCCATTTGAATACCCAATTTTCCCAACAAAATTTTTTGAAGAAACTGCTCTTTGCATTGCGGTTTCTTGGTTCTTTTGTTAAAAATCGGGTGAATGTAAATTTTTGGTTTTATTTCTGGGCTTTCTGTTCTATATGCTCTATGTATTTTTGTATGTCATCACTGAGCTGTTTCAATTATTTTAGATTTATAATATATTCTTAACCAATATTAAGTAGCATTTATCTCTGGGATGCAAGGATGGCTCAAAAGAAGCAAGTAAATAACTATGATAAATGCCTTTACAGAATGAAGGAGAAGAAAAACATATGATCATTTCAACAGAGATAGAAAAAGCATTTGATATATCTCCACCTATTTTATTAACAAAATATTCAACAAATTTGTTATAGCAATAATATCCTTCACTACATAAAATGTCGTATATGACAATTCCACAGCTAATAACAAGCTTAACATTGAAAGTTTATGTTTGTTATGTGTGAGCAGAACAAGACAATAACACCCTCTCTCACCACTTCCATTAAACATAAAACTGGAAGTTCTAGTCAGAGCATTGAGGTAATAAAAATAAATAAATGACATCCATTTATGAAAGAGAATAAAAATTGTTTTTGTTTCCTGATAACATGATCTATTATATAAAAACCCTAAAGACTCCATCTATGAACTGTGACAACTAATAAACATATTTAGTAATATTGCATGACACAAAATCAGCACACAGAAATCAGTAGTGCTTCTATGCACTAGCAATGAACTATCCAAAGATCAAATCTGTAAAATTATCACATTTAAAATAGAATCAGAAAAAAAATTCTTGGGAATATATGTAACAAAATTAGTTACAGATTTGTATATTGAAAACTAAAGCATTGATAAGATCATGGAAGTATTAATGGAAGAGAATTTTTCAAAACTGATGGCAGACATAAAAATGCAGATGAAGGAACTGCACAGAGCACCATCATGATAAATAAAAGCAACAGAAATGAAGTGCACACACACACACACGCACACACACATGCACACATGCACATTTACACAAACATGCACAAACATGCACACACGTGCACACACACACACACATGCACACACACCCATGACCAAGATATTAAATTTTATCACATTAAAACTGCAGAATATATCTAAAGTGGTTGTTTTAAGAAATGCTTACACATAAAAGAATAATCTTAAGCATTTCAGAGGACTTCTTGTCAGAATCAAAGCAAACAAACATTGAGAAGTTTTAAATATTTAAAGTGTTGGAAGCTGCAACCACCAACACCCACGATTCCTGATTCAGATAAATAATCCCTCAAAAGTTAAGGAGAACAACATCTCCTCATACTCTCCTTCCCCCAAGAATTGATGAATATTTGATATTCATATAATAGCACAGAAATTATAGCCAATGATAGACTGTAAATTTCAAAATAGCAAAGACAGTAAATTTTGAATGTCTCATGTTGGGAAAATATAGGAAGATTGTCAGGGCCCCTCAGATGCTCAGAATCTTGCCAAGCATTTGCTGTAAATATCCTCAGGTGTACATTTTTACTGCTTAATGCAATTGAATATGGGCACCCAGGTGTCCTGGGTTATGGACCTGAGTATAAAGGTCTAACAGCTCTGATCCACGGTGTTGCTTAGAACTCTCAAAGAAGCCACTAGGACGGCTGCTCCCAGCTCTGAATAAAGCCTGTTAACCTTTTACCCACTGCTCCAAGGACCTTTTTCTTATTACCTAGCTCATAGACCTGTGTGTGGAGGGATTGTGACCCAGTCTGTGAGCCCTAGCCCTACCTATACAATTGGCATAGTCAGCAGGGTTTGGGGGCAGGTACAGGAGCCTCTTGGGAGAAGAAGGTAATGTGGCTCCTCCTGAATATTCTGTACCCTCTGGCCACTTTCCCATCACCTGGTATCTGGTTGCTGCTCACAATACTGCAAGTCAGCATAGACCAGGCACTCCATGAAGCAGGGCATCCCCGGAGAACCCCTTGGGAGGAAGAGGAAATGTGGCTGTCCTTGAGTATGTGGTGCCCAATGGTCACTTTTCTGCTGACCAGAGCCTGGCTACTACTCAGTGTGTTTCAAACTGATCGAAATTTGAAGAAGAAAGCAGAGTTGTTGGAAGCATGAATAATTGTCCTGGAGGATGACACGCAGTGGGTGGCCACCCCTGCTTCTCACACCAGGGCTAACGACAAACCCAGTGTTGAGTTGGGGGAGACTGTGAATCTCCAGGCATGACCTGTTGTGCACCAGAAAGTGAAGTGTAAGCACCCTATAGGACCAGGCAGCCACTTGGCACACAATCCACAGGTATCCCAGTTCACTACCTATTTCCCTTATTCCCATGTTGAATTATTTGACTTACAGAGACAGTTTTGGCAGAAACAGGGGAGCTCCTGGCTGCTTGGGTGCTGAGGTTATGAGACCCAGGGGTGGATGGTGTGATGTGCTCTCGTAAGAAGATGGAAAGATTGGAGCCAATCCCGTGGCTCACTCAGGAGAGTGTGGTGCTGGGAACACAGCGGCGCTCCCGCCACGGGTTCGGATCCTATATAGCGATGGCTGGTGCACTCACTGGCTGAGTGCAGGGCAGGTAACACCAAGCCAAGGGTTGTGATCCCCTTACCGGACACACACACACACAAAAAAAGAGGATGGAATGTTTGACCTGTATTACCAGCCACCCTTCCCTGAGGCAGCAGCTACAGAATAGCTGTAGACATGCACAAGGGCCAGGTAATCACTCCTTAATGGAACGGGTGAGTGCAGCTACCTGAACCATGTGAGGGAATACTAGAGAACTCCCCAAGATTGTGAGTAAATATCTAACACATTCTGAGTTGATTCAAGTAATTCAGGGGCTGGGGATGCAGCAGTCTGTGTTTAATATAAACATCCCTGGCCCAGACAATGAAAGTTTTACAGGCAGCATGAGAGACATAGTGCTGCAGAATCACCCATCCACATCATTTGGGCAACTGATGGCCATACTGTCCCCGTACATTGGTCCTCCTATACATGT